GAGGACACAAACTAGCGTCCTCCCGTCACCCTAGGCTCAGTATACCGTGAGCTGTAGCAATTATGTAACAATTGTGCCGGGATCCGCCCAGCTGCGTGACTGACAGCTGGCTCTGCCTATCTAGAGGCAGAGCCAGCTGTACCCGCCCCCTCCCGCGTCAATTCTGCCAGACAGCGCTGGTGGATCGGATCGGGGAGGGGAGGGGGGGGAATCCAGCCCCTCCCCTGTTACGGCATAGAGCCGTGACAGGATCGAGAGGTGAGCGAACGCCGGTATGTGTTCGCTCACCTCCCGATCTACTGAGCCGACCTTTGACAGTCTCATTGTCACAGGTCGGCTAGAACTATGAGGTGAGTGAAAAGCACTCACCTCATAGTTCTCCATTAAAGGACAAAAGCAAAATCTGAGGCATGCTGAGTAGACCAGGGGTTATTATTATTATTATACTGGATTTATATAGCGCCAACAGTTTGCCCAGCGTTTTACAATATAAGGAAGATATTACAATCACAATACAATTCAAGACAAGATGGTAAGGAGGGCACTGCCCGTGAGTTATGCGGAGGCTCACATTTTTTGTTTGGCAGTGAGTGTTCCAACCTTCTGAAGATGGCAGTATAACCTAACTCTGAATTCCTGTGTACCTCAGTGGGCAAGAAAAATTATGCTCATATCCAAAAGGGAATTTCTTTTTATAGCCCCACAGAAAAAAAATGGGGGTTGTGAACTACCAATTCTGTACACCTTGTAAAACAAAACCAGAGCAGATGTATTATATTGATCTAAAAGCCATAGAACAATAGACTTGCCCTTTAAGTTGCTCCTGCCCAAAAAACTGATACATTTCATCAACTGACAGAGGAACAAAAGACTGCAGACACCTTAACACACCAGAAGCAGAAAGCATGGTAACTGGTTATAAGCTCAGCTGTTACAATGCAAAAAGCAAAACAGCACAGGCAGTTTCTAAAATGGCTCTTGAAAGTTGAATTTAATCTCAAAGTTCGTTCATACAAGTTGTGGTATATGGCATCTGGTACACTGTATCAATGTCAGTCACGGCAAGGGCACACAGAAAAAAACTGTGCCTTGTTCATACATCTAAGGAAAAGCAAAATGTTTGGAATACAAAGCTGTCTGGGATAAAAAAAAAAAAAATCAAACTTCAATTAAAAGTGAAGCCATTCAAAACTGCTCAGTCCGTAAAACAAAAAAATAATAAAAGGAGAAAAATAAAAACAAAAAAGTAAAATGTACAAAGTAGTATATTTTTTATAAAACAAACCTAAAAATTTGAATTTAGTACTGCCTCTTTTTTTGATTATCATTGTAAAGAGGCTACTACTTAAAAAGGCATTTGGGAAATATCTCTATCCCTTTTACAGGTGAAGGGAGTAGG